GAGTCTGCCAATTTGCACCTGTAATTCCAGTGAGGGGCAGGGAGGGGAACAAGGGAGGATCCTCCATCCCTGCAGCCACACCTGAGAGGGAACAAAAGTGCCTCAGGGAGGCTGAACCTGTGGGCACAGAGGCAGGAGTCCTAGGCTGGCAGGTGCAGGTGAAGAAGACTCCGGAGACCACAGTGACCCCCAGATGAGCGTCGTGGGGGGGTCGGGTTCGTAGGAGCAGGGAGCCAGCCTTAAGCACAGAGTGCCTTGGCCATCGCCCAGGGGCACCTGGCCCAGGGTTTGCAGGGGCCTGCTCCAGGCCATCTGCACCCGGCCAGCCAGGAAGGGGCACATACCTCACCCCAGGGTTTAACTTATTTTCCAAAACCCAGTGTGAGCTTCTGGCTGGCACCTTTTGGGTTGTGGGTGAGGAGAGCAGCCCCTTCCAGGGAAGCAGGTTCCTGCGAACAATGAAACAAGCTGTACCAAAGCCCCGGCACGCCCAGTGCCCAGCCTCCCCACCTCAAGCTACCCCTCCCACACCTACTATAAAACCTCCAGGCCCTCCTCTCTGCTGGACAGAAGCTCAGAATCAGCACCATGCAGCTGAATTTCAGCAGCCTTAGGGCCCTGGTGACAGGGGCAGGGCAAGGTGGGTAAGAGCGGCACAGGTAGGAGTGTGGGATGAGCCAAGGTGGAGAGCGAGGTGGCCAGGCCCAAAGCCTCACAGGTTCACGTTGGACAGGACACTGTCCCCTACCTGGTCAATGCAAGACACAGGATGGCAGATGAGGGATCGAGCCCAGACCCAGTAGGAAGGAGCTGCCCTCTGGGCCTCCCTTGACTGGATCCTGCTGGCTGGGCCTCTGACTTTGGCCCCCACTATTTCCAGGCCAGGATCCTCTGGCCAACACCCTCTTGCTGCTCTTTCCTGAGCGGCCCCACCCCAACCTTGTCCCGACGTGTTGGGACACTCCCTGCCTGGTGCTCCCCTGCAGGGATCGGACGGGACACTGCAAAGGCCCTGCATGCCTCAGGAGCCAGAGTGGTGGCTGTGAGCCGCACCAACGCCAACTTGGTCAGCCTCTGCAAGGAGGTGAGACGCTCAGCCTGCCCCAACACCCTCGGGGATGCCTCCTGAGCCTGCTGGGACAAGCCAGTCACTTCCCAATGCCTCCCACAGTGTCCCGGCATAGAGCCTGTGTGCGTGGACCTTGGTGACTGGGAGGCCACGGAGCGGGCCCTGGGTGGCGTGGGCCCTGTGGACCTGCTGGTGAACAACGCTGCTGTGGCGCTGCAGCAGCCCTTCCTGGAGACCACCAAGGAGACCTTCAACAGGTGGGACGCAGGAGAGCGGGTGGAATGGGGAGGGGCTGCTGCAGAGGTGGGGCAGACCTGCCAGGGTCCGTCTGACTGTCTGCTCTCCCCCAGGTCCTTCAGCGTGAACGTGCGCTCTGTGTTCCAGGTGTCTCGGGTGAGCCAGTGGAGGGACGTGGCCCCACAGCTGACAAGGCCCAGGTAAGGGTGAGTTGGGGTCAAACTGGCCCTTCTTTTGGCTTCTAGATGGTGGCCCAAGGCATGATCGACCGCGGAGTACCTGGCTCCATCGTCAATGTCTCCAGCGCACTGGCCTATGCCACCTTGCCCAACCTAGCTGTCTACAGTGAGTCCCTCTACCCAGCCCATATCCCCACCCCCACTGGGCTCTGGGGCTGGGCCTCCCTGAAAAGAAGGGTGAATCCCTAAAGGGACCTCAGTGCGGCCCCCCCCCCCAGGCTCCACCAAGGGTGCAATGACCATGCTGACCAAAGCCATGGCCATGGAGCTGGGGCCACACAAGGTGAGCCTGGGAGTGCTGGGG